GTACAGGTCCATTTACCATTAGTGATTTTACACGGTTTGTATTGACTGTAATGTAACAACCTGTTTTCCACACTAAGTTCAGTTGTCATATTCAGCATGTTAATAGCCTCACTGAAAATCCACAGAAATCAAGATAAACTACTTGAATCAGCGAAATGATTTATAATTTCTGCCTCTGCTCTCCAGTCTGCAGCGTTAGGTGGAGCAGCTCACCTGGTTAACTTCTGCAGTACGGACACAGTAGCTGGGCTGCTGATGGCTCAGCGATACTATGGCTGCCCCATGGCTGGCTTCTCCATTCCAGCAGCAGAGCACAGGTACAACACGTATGACAACATCAATGAATGTAGTCTGTGGCAATCATAAATAAAAAGAGAAACTTTGATTATTTTGACTTTTAATATAGAATAAATGTGACTAATCAGCCCAGTTAAGTTGTCAATTGTGAGGAAACTGTGACACCATCAGGAGTTTTATTATTTATTTATATCCTGTATCTATTGAATTATTGTATCTTGTTTATACCTTAAGTTCTGAAGCGCATTGCTTTCATTTTATTTTTTATTGTAAAGCACTTTATAATTGTGTTTGTTAAGGTGATATATAAATCAAGTTATTATTAATATTAATAATAATATCAGAACTAGTGTTAATATCTCTAGCACCACAAGAGCTCATTACTTCCTTGCTGTCATCCAGTACCATCATCTCCTGGGGGAGAAGCAAGGAGAAGGAGGCATTTGAGAGAGTCTTGGACCAGTTCTCCTCAGGGCCGGTGTCAGTGGTCAGTGACAGCTACGACATCTTTAATGCCTGCAAACACATCTGGGGAGACAAGCTGAAGGAGCGAGTCATGGAGCGCAGCCAGGACTCATGTCTGGTCATCCGGCCGGATTCTGGAGACCCTGCAGAGACTCTTATTGAGGTAAATAACAGGGCTGGGGTAGTTTGTATTTGACAACAAAAAAAAAACTAATATCTAAACGAATTTTAAATCACAATATTTTAGTGATTTCTGCTTTGAATTCTTACTTTTACCACTTTAATATTTTTCAAATGATTCTAATCTCTTCTAATTGTTTTGCTATATCGCTGTTTTAAAATACAATATGTCATTTCTGCCACTAACGTTAGCTTAGGTGGTTTCTCTGATAACTTAAGATC